CTGGGTCTGGGACTCAAACTGCAATTGACTACATAAGAGTTCAGCAACATAGCCATTACGCCAACTGCTGGTCCCAAGTCGTCATTGTTTTTAAGACAGGGTCTCATTATGTTGCTCAGGCTGGCATTGAATTCATAATCCTCCTACCTCAGCGTCCCAAGTAGCTGGGATTACAGGTTCACACCTCCATGCTTAGCACCAGCCATCTTTTAAAAAATTATGTGAGTAATATTTTCGGTTTACATTAGAAATAGGACTATCTCTACTGTCTCTGGGAGTTTCAATTAAAATCCCTCAGGTTTAGCTTCTATGTTACTGTGTCCCCCAAAAGTTCATGTGCTAGAATTTGGGTGTTTTGTGAAGGTATTAAGAGGACATTAACATGATTATGAGATTAAGATATGGGAGATTACTAGGATTAAGGTCATCAGGGTGGGGCCCCTATGATTGAAGGCTGATGGCTTTGTTTTTTTGTTTGTTTGTTTGTTTTTCTTTCTTTTTTTTTTTTTTTGTTGGAGAGGTTTTTGCTATAGGGCGCGTGCGCTCGCCAGACAGAGAGAGACAGAGACAGAAAGCGAGAAATCACCCCCCAGGAGGGATGGCCACACCGCAATCCCTTCTCCTCCATTCTCCTCTTGGGATCTTGGGCATGCACGCACACGCGCCCGGCGTGAGTTTTAAGCCACTGGGTCCGGGACGCGAACCGCAATCAACTACGTGGGAGTCCAGCGACATAGCCATTACACTAACTGCTGGTTCCCAAAGGCTGATGGCTTTGTAAAAAGAGAAATGAGACAGAGACATATGGACGCAGACACGCATGCTCCTGTTCCCTCACCATATGATGCCCTCTGCCATTTTCCCATCAACAAGACGTGGCTCTTGACCTTGGACCTCCAAACTCATGACCTGTCAATAAGTAAGCCTCTATTCTGATGAATCACCAGATGTAGTCCCTTGACCACCAGCTGTGGCCCCTTGACCTTGGGCCTCCAAACCCATGGACTAAATAAGCCTCTATTCTGATAAATCACCATTTTTGAGTATTTCTGTTATTAGCGATACAATAGGCTAGAAGATACCTCCTTATTATCCCAACCAGAGCTAAGTACCAATCTTTCACCTCATCTAAAACTTACCTTTACTCTGCCACTTGGAATCTTTCACACTTACTGTAAGATTTTCTTAGGTTATGTTAAGAACAATACTAGTTGACACAATGCCATTTTGTCAGGACGTGGGAATGCCCCAGTTGTGCTTCCTACTCAGGGATGTAAGGCAGAAAATGACCAGAGGTTTAGACTCGTTTTTGTACCAGCTCTAATACCAACTCGAACAAATCCTTTCCACTTTCTTTGTTTAGGATGGGAAGGTGAGCCAGCCAGTGGTTGGTGGTTAAGGCAGCTGGATCACACGAGGTGAACTGTGGAGTTCAAGTCCCAGACTAGAGGCTTGAAAACAGGCTAGGCACATTGGCACATGCAGTCAGATCCTGAAAGGAGCATCCCTGGCATGGTGGGTGAGGTGCTGGACTCCCACATGGCCAACCTTGGCTCCAGTCCTGGACTTGGTGGCCTGCTTTCTTCTTTTCTTGCTCTCTTACTCCCTCTCTCTTTCTCTCTCTCTCTCTCTTGAGTGCACATGCCCAATAGCAAATAAATAAATAATTAGATAGATAGAATTAAATACATATTTTTAAAAAGAGAAGAAAAAATTCTGAAAGGAGAAATGGAAGAGAAAGGATTGTGGCAGGGCCATCCCCCGTGAGGGGTACTTTCTCAGTATTCTCCACACCCCTGTCTCTCTCTGGTGAGTGCATGCTCCCTGTAGCACAATTTAAAAATAAAAGGAAATGAAAAATAAAATGGGAAGGTACCTGTGTGTGTGTGTATGTGTGTGTGTGTGTGTGTTTAAGACATGTATAATGGGTCCCTCATCTCTATAAAACTGGTTACCCGATCAAATAAAATGATGTATCTGAAAGACTTTGGATCAATACAAAGCACTGAAATTCTAAAACACAGTTATTTGTCAGAATCTCAGTAATTTACATGATTTATATAATTTATACACCTCAATAAAAATAAGGTAAATATCCTTAGCTGAGTTTTTTTGCTTGTTTTAGGTTTTTCCGTAGGGCGCATATGTTCCCTTGAGCAGAGACAGGGAGAGGGGAAGTGATAAATCGTGCCCAGAGGGGGAATGCCCGTGCCACAATCTCTTCTCCTCCATTCTCCTGGAATGTTGGGCATGCATTCACACACACCTGGCCCCCAGGTCCAGGATTTGAACCATGATCAGGCATGTGGGCATTCAGCACCTTAACCACCGCACTACCTGCTGACCCCTCTTAGCCCAGTTCTACAGATAAGAAAATGGAGGCTTAGACTGTCAAACAGCCAAAGTCCAAAGCGTGTGGGGAGTGGGTGGTGGAGCTTGCCATGAACCCAGGCCTTCTCTGGCTCCAGTACCATTTTCTTCACCCTAGGAGTGCACTGCCACCCCTTCTGTACGTGCCAGCAGTAATATTTGCTTCATTTCTTTTCCTTTTTTCCTTTTTTTTGAGAAGTTTTGCGATAGGGAGTGTGCACTCACCAGAAAGACAGAGAGACAGAAAGCGAGAAATCACCCCCAGGGGGGAGATGGCCATGCCGCAATCCCTTCTCCTCCATTCTCCTTTGGGGATCTTGGGCACTCACGCACACGAGCCCGGCGTGAGTTTAAGCCACCGGGTCTGGGACTCGAACCACCTTTGGTACATGGAAGTCCAGTGACGTAGCTATTATGCCAACTGCTGGTCCCAACTGTTTGCCTCATTTATTTTTACTAACCCTAAATCCAGTTATCCCTGATATAAACATTCTAAATCTAATCGACTAATTATATATATATATATATGTATATGTATATGTATACACATACATACATATATATGTGTGTGTGTGCATGTGTGTATGTCAATCTCATTGACTAATACATACATATATATATATATAAATTTTTCATATGCTATATGGTACATGTGCTTGCCAGCGAGAGACAAAGAAAGGGGAAGTAAGAAAGCACCCACCGTGGAGAATCATTGTGTCATAACCCCTTTCCTCCATTCTCCTCTCAGGATTTTGGGCACACACACACATGTGCTTAGCATGTTTCTCAAACCACTGAGTCCAGACTCAAATTGTGCAGTTTGCCATGTGGTATCTAGCCTCTTTAACCACACCACATCACTGACTGGCCCTAACTGACTAACTTTGTAATGACTTACTCTTTTTTTTTTTCTTTCTTTCTTTTGTGGTTCATATGAGGAGCCTTCATAGAAAATGCATAATATGAAAAAAAAATGCATGGATTTCTATCTTTTTGCACCAAAATAAACTTGTACTTTAATTCCATTTTTCTATAATGTTTTTAAATTCCCCTTGTGTATTTCATATCAAGGTATTCTGTAAAATTCTAAACTTCTTGAATATAAAGCCCTCCTCATTTTAGTGTTCTCTGGATGATGCCAAGCATAGAAATAGCCTTCCTAATTATTTTATGATGAGAAGAATGGAAAAATCAGATATTCATATTGGAGGGGGGAATCAATAAATCTGTTGAAAAGATTCCACAAAACAAATGATCTTTACAGTAACAACTGAGAATTTTTATTTAATCTTTCTTTCTTTTTAAATAATTATTTATTCATTAATTTATTTTAACTTGACCAGAGAGAAGGAGAAAGTGCAAAAGCAAGGCACCAGGTCTGGGACTTGAACTGTGGTCAGCCGTGTGGAAGTGTCCAACGCCTTAACCACCACACCACCCGCTGGCCCCTATTTAATCTTTCTCAGTGCTAATCCATAGTATAGTTAAGCTCTGGAGTATGCTAATATTATGTAAAGATGATTTTAACAGTTGTATGTGGGTAGAAAAAAAGTTGTGAGTCATATACTGAAAAAGGATTAGCTTTTTGGTGTGTATTATATAAATAATTAGAATCACATTCCAGAAATATGCCCAAAATTCAGCAGCTAGGATTGGAAAACAAACAAACAAACAAACAAACAAACAAACCCACTGTAAAATTTCTTTTTAGGAGCTGAAATTGGTTTATATCTGTATAGTAGGTCAAGACCACATTTTTTTTATCTCTGTCATCACAGGTGTGGAAGTTAATAAAGAACATAAGACGTTAAGTCCTTCAAGGTCATGAATAATTTTGGTCAACCTTGGACAAAAAGTTAGGGATCCCATGAGTAGAATTTAAAAAAAAATCAAAACAAAAAAAGCTGATGTCAACTCCTGGGCAACAGAGAATACCTGTATGTACACTTTCTTCTGAGTCTCCGTAATCAGGAAAAACGTGGGGGAAAATATGAGTAGAGCCTCCTTTTCTAGTTCTGGCTATGAATAATTCTTAAACCTTATACCCTTATGAAGGTCACTTCCTCTCTCTAGCTTTTGAGTAGAGACAGAAAGAGAAATTTTTAAGAGTCAGTCTAAGAAAGATTCAGCCTATCATGTTTAATTTTCCCCCTTCCTTTTCAAAAAGTATCTTGGAGGGCCAGGTAGGTGGTATGGTGGTTAAGGTGACTGGATCCTACATGGCCAATTGGAAGTTTGAGTCCCAGACCAGGCAGATTGGAAAACACTCCCTGTGCGCGTGCGTGCATGCATGCCCACAGTCCTGAGAGGAGAATGGAGATGGGATTGTGAGGTGGCCATCCTTCCTGGGGGGTGTTTCTTTCTCTCTCTCTCTCTCTCTCTCTCTCTCTCTCTCTCTCTCCTCTCTCTCTCTCTCTCTATTTCTCTGTCTCTCTCTGGCAAGTATACATACTCTGTAGCAAAATTTAAAAAAAAAAACAAATATGGGAAAAAAAAATCTTGGGACGCTAGTTGTCAAGACCATCATTTTTGTTCAAGTATAGTCAGTACTAGGGAACTACTGTTAGGTACTCCCAAAGTGGTATTCTCTAAGAAGAAAATCAGAATAAAAATATAGAGGACGGGATTACCTTCTGTAGATGAGACAGGTCATAACTGGATGCCTGAGAAAGCCGCCATCTCAATTTTATCAGGACGACTGCCTTTTTGTCCAGTCTACCTGTAAGGTGATGGGAAGGAAGTGAAAAACTTAGCTAGGATAACAAGGCCAGGACAAGACAACAGGCTAAATAATGAAAGAAAAATTAAAGGGGGAAAGTTCTAAAGAAGTCACTGTTTATTATGTTCTGTTTTAATTTAAAAAAAAAAAAAAAAAACGGGGGGAGGAGAGGGGATTAGTGTGTGTCCAACTCCCTGGGATGAAAACTTTAAAGAGAGGGAAAAAAAAAGATTCACTTGGGAACTTAATAGGAATCTGCCATTCCAGGTCCCACTAGACCAAGAAAATCAAAACATCCAGGGTAGACATAGGCATGTTTAGTATTAAACCAGCTTGGGCAACAGACCTATGAAAGAAGTCTTACTCAGCCTGCCACACTGCGAACCCACCCCCCCTATAGCAAAACCCTCTCCAAAAAAAGGAAAAAAAAAAAACAGCAGAAGGCAAGAATCTAGGCAATGGGAGTGACTAAATCTGTCTCCCCTAAAAAATTTATTGGTAGTGTTTCTCTTCCATTGTCCAGAAGAATGAGTCATTCATTCTGCCAGATACAGTATGTCCAGGTCCTGGAAAATAAATGTACCCTGTTACAGAGAGAACAGGAATAGTTCGTCTGGGTTTTTTTTTTTCCTGGGCTGGAAATGTCTCTTTAGACTTGACATTTCCCTTTCTGAGTCCACACTTAACAAGTCACCCTCTGATTTCTCATTGTACCTCATTTCTCATTTAGGCAGCAGCGAGTAGGAATAACAAGGTTTTTGAACAGGTTTATATTTTTGTTAATTAATACACTGACATTTTTTTTTCTTTTCTTTTTTTTTTTCTAAAGAGATATTTGTGCTACAGGGCATGTGTGCATGCCAGAGAGACAGAAAGTGAGAAGTCACCCCCCAGGGGGAATAGTCATGCCACAGTCCCTTCTCCTCCAGTCTCCCCTCGGGATTTTGGACATGCATGCACATACGCCCGGCATTAGTTTTAAGTCACCAGGCCCAGGACTTGGGATGACTACGTGAGAAGCCAGCAATGTAACCATATGCCATCTGCTCGTCCCTAGCATTTTGTTTTATACCACAAGCTTTTTTTCTTCTTTTTATACATTTGCTATAGGACACATGTGTTTGCCAGAAAGAGAGAGAAAGAACAAGAAATCCCCCCTCCCAGATGGGATTGCTTCAGCACAATTCCTTTTCCATGGAAAAGTTTAGACATGCATGCACAGGTGCCTGGTGTATTTCCCCAGCTGCTGGGTTGGGACTAAAACCATCCCAGTTGGCCTTGTGGGGTCCACCTGCCCCAGCCACTGCCACTGGCTGGCCTACCTCAAGCTCTGATTGTTGAGGTACATAGTGCTGCCTGGGCTAGCCCAGGTGGTCCCACATGGCTGGCTGCTCAGTTCGAATGCCAGACCCAGCCACTTGAGAAACAAGCTGAGTGTGGTGTGCATGTGTACTCAACATCCCCAAAGGAAGGAGAGATGGAGGAGAGGGATTATGGTACGACCATTCCCCACAGGGAATGATTTCTCACACCCCCCATTCACAGCGAGCACACTTGCCCTCTGACAAAATTTAAAAGAAAAAAAAAATGTTCTGCCTATTCTGGCCAGTTCAGGTTTATCTTCAATATCAGATTTCTTGGACACACCTGTGCATGCATGGACTAACTACTCTAAGACATGCCATCAGCAGAATAAGGCAAAATATAGTTGTCAGCTGGCTTTTCTCTACGATTCCTTTATGTCATAATTACATACGTGTAACAGTATGAAAAAGATTTCTGTGGTGGTTAAAACGAGTTTTCCAGGACCACCAGTTGGCGTAATAGCTATGTTGCTGGACTCCCATGTAGCTGACCACGGTTCAAGTCCTGGACTCGGTGACTTAAACTCATGCCGGGTGCATGTACGTGTGTGCCCAAGATCCCGAGAGGAGAATGAAAGAGAAGGGATTGCGTCGTGGCCATCCCCCAGGGGGGTGAATTCTTGCTTTCTGTCTCTCTTTCTGGTGAGTGTATGCGCCCTATAGCAAACACCTCTCCAAAAACAAAACAAAAACCAAGTTTTTCTCTTACTCCATAATTAAAGACAAAGAATGAGCAAATACCAAAGGTGACAGAGGCAGTGAAGCTGTGTCATTCAACTTTAAGCATCTGGCTTTGAGAACACTTGTGTGAGAGACAAACATTTTCAGATACTCATACCTAATATGATTTAACATAGCTAGAGACTATTTTATACAGTATTAATGAATATAATCATTCTTAAATTATGTGTACCTATTTTTGTCAGATTTTGTGTGGAAATACCTGGAAGTTCAAACTGAGTAAGACATAAATAAAATAATTATGGAGCCAGCCAGTGGCACAGTGGTTAAAATGGGTGGATCCCACATGGCCGAGTGCATGGCTTGAGTCCTGGACCAAGTGACTTGAAAAACACACCAGGCTCATGTGCATGTGTGCCCAAAATCCCAAGAGGAAAATGGAAGGAAAAGGATTGCAGTGTGGCCATCCCACTGGGGGTGATTTCTCACTTTCTCTCTCTCCAGTGAACACACTGCCCTACAGCAAAAAAAAGTTTTTAAAAAAATTATGGACTGTGAGGATATGTATAAGGCACAATGGTGACAAGAGATGGAGAAATTACTGCTCACAGCGCTAGGAAAGCCTACAAGAGGTGACTTTTGATGTAGGTTTGGAAGGAAATACAATGTATTTCCTTCTCTGCCTAGGAGAAGAAAGGGAATTCCAAGCAGAGGAAATGGCTGGAAAGCAAAGCCTGGAAAGTACAAAATAGATTGTCTTGTACAACAAATTGCTGGGGTATTGCCTGGGTAATGAGAAGAGGTAGGAGGGATGCCTGCTAAGGCCTTGATCATGTGGGTGCTAAGACATTTAAGATGGGAAGCGGTATGGTCTTCAGACAAGTCTTTATAGTTGTCATGACAATGAGGCATGAGAGTGCAAGAGAAAGGAAGTCCAATTCGGAGTCTAGGTCCTAAACGAAAGCAGTTGTAGTGAGAATGGAAAGGAAGAGGCAGGTTTGAGAATGGCTTGGCAGCGAGAATCAGTAGGGCTTGGTAACAGATTGTATTTGGGGGCGAGAGGGAGGAACTAGCATAACTCCCAAATTACTGGCTTTGGAACGTAGAGCTCTTTTATTAAATCTTTCTCAAAACCATTATACATTATTCATTGTGAGATTAAAGATCTCACAATGTTCTGTGAAACATCATTAGCTTCCGACCAAGGGAATCCCTAGATTAGAAATCAGCCTCCACCCACCTCCATCCTAGCTTTTCCTGTCCATTTTGTACTTTTCTCCGGAAGCTGTGAGATCTGGCTTCAGGCAAAAAAATATATATATATGTAACTAAAACAGACATAGTGTCCCAGAAAAAGAAATACGAAAGCCAGAAGATACAATTAAACACATTTGGAATGCTTAGAACAAGGTGTCCACAGCATTATCACAGACCGTAACTGTGTTCTATGTGTGCAGTTTGCCAGCTTTTCATTAAGCAAAAAAACTGGTTTTCCATGGAAAAAAAAAGAAAGAAAAGAAAAGAAAAAAGTGAAAACTTACTTAGTTACACAGTAACAAGCAACTTGTGCTCGAAAAATGTAGATGTATATTAACAAAATTACTTCTTGGCCTCTCCTAATGGATAAAATAGCCTAGTCATTATGTAATATTATAAATAGATAACTACATTTTCAGATTAAGGATGTTTGAGGGCTCAAAGTTTATGTGAATATTATTCAGTATTTCTCATTTCACTTAGGGCAAAGTAGTTTTTTTTTTTGGGGGGGGGGGGGGGGTAGAGGTTTTTGCTATAGGGCACATGCGCTTGCCAGACAGACAGAGACAGAGACAGAGACAGAAAGCAAGAAATCACCCCCTAGGGGGGATGGCCACACCGCAATCCCTTCTTCTCCACTCCATTCTCCTCTCGGGATCTTGGGCACGCACGCACACGTGCCCAGCATGAGTTTTAAGCCACTGGGTCTGGGACATGAACCGCGATTGACTACATGGGAGTCCAGCAACATAGCCATTATGCTAACTGCTGGTCCCAGGGCTTCATAGTTTTTGAAACTTTCTTCTGTGTGACCTTCAGTGGTGTATTTCAGCCTCCCAGCTAGAATTTTTCTTTAATTGCCATAGGATATGTGCACTTGGCAGAGAGATAAACAGGGACAAAGCATCCCCCCTCCCCCATGGTCTATGGTCATGCCACAGTTCCTTCGCCTGTTTTTCTATCATGTCGGGATTCTAGGCACACACACACACGTGCCCTGTGTGTGTTTCAAGCCACCAGAGACCAAGATTTGAACCAGGGTCAGCCATGTGGGATCCAGCTTCTTTAACCCACAAGACCATGGGGCTGGCCTTGGTTAGCAATCTTACTAGATTGTTGTGTTCAAACACTGGCTCCATCACCCAGGCCTTTGGACAATGCTATACACAAGTGGAGTTAATATGTCAGCATGATCTTGAGTGGGTGCCCAATCCCAACACAGATGTGCAAGATAGGACTTGACTTCTAAAACATATCACCTATTGATAATCCATTGGTTTTCAAACTTCATCATGCATTAAAATCACCTTGCTGGGTCCTATGCTTAAAATTCATATTTTAGGGAACCAGCAGTTAGCGTAATGGCTGTCGCTGGAGTCCCATGTAGTCGACTGCGGTTCGCGTCCCATCCCAGACCCGGTGGCTTAAAACACGCCGGGCACGTGTGCGTGCATGCCCAAGATCCCGAGGGGAGAATGGAGGAGAAGGGATTGCGGTGTGACCATCCCCCCCGGGGGTTGATTTCTCGCTTTCTGTCTCTATGTCTCTCTCTGTCTGTCTGGCGAGCGCACGCTCCCTATAGCAAAAATCTCTCCAAAAAAAAAAATTCATATTTTAGTAGATCTGGAGTAGAGTCCAAGAGTTTGCATTTGTGACAAATTTTAGGCGATAGTCCAGGTCCCATCCCTTAAGGAACACTTATCTATAATCATTGGAAAAGGAATTAACTTAGAAAAAAGGGAGGGAGCATTAAAGAAAGAAGACAGAGATATAACAGCAAATGTGGGGACCAGCAGGAGGCATGGTGATTAAGGCACTAAATACTCCCACACGGCTGACCACGGTTCGAGCCTCGGACCTGGTGACTTGCTTTCTTGCTATTTCTCTCTCTCTCTCTGGTCAAATTAAAATAAATGAATGAATGAATAAAAATTAAATAATTCTTAAAAAAATAGAGAAAGAAAGACTATAAGCAAAACACATGTAGCGGGCCAGCTGATGGCAAAGTGACTAAGGTGGGTGGCATGGCTGTCTCCATTGCAGGATTGAATCTAACAACCGTTGGCTTGAAAAACACACTGAGCACATGTGAATGTATGCCCCCAAATGAGGAAGAAATGGAGAAGTGATTTTGGCAAGTCCCATGGGGGTTGCTTTCTCTCTCTCCCTCTCTCTCTCCCCCAAGTCCCTATGCCCCTTTGCCTCCTGGCAAAAAAAAAAAAAAAAAAAAAAGAAAGAAAAAAAGAAAAGGAAACTCAAGTAGGGTAGGCTCCATAGTTCAACAGGTAAGCCTTGTGCACCAGGAGCTACTCACATGGCTGACCATAGTTTGAATCCCAGTTGCAACTGCTTAAAAGAAAAGAAAAGAAAAAAAAAACCCACAGATGTACATGGTTCGTTAGCGATTTTATTCAGGAAAATAAACTATTCCAAAGACCAATGAGCTATTTGCTCAGCAAGGATAATCCTCTTCTGTTACTAGGATGACACTGAGTTTCTGCCATTCTAGAACATGTCCTCATTATTCTAGTGTTTATTAGTCACACTCAGAAAAACTCATTTATTCCAATTTACCCTTTCCAGTATTTCTGGGTTTTATACTTGAAACCTGAACCAAACCATGAACCATTTCATTGAGATATGCCAGGCTAATTTGTTGAACTCCAAAACTAAACCAAATCTCAAATATCTTTTTCCTTAAGTGTAAACCAAATGAAAGTCATTTTCTTTTGTTTGTTCAAAAACATAGTACATTAGTTCAAGTTAGAAACAGTGCTTTCGGTTTTTTAAACGTCTTCAAAAGTAAGATTAGATTGCCTAACGTACCAATTTGTTCAAAGAACAAAAACGAAAAACCAGTCTGTTTAAATCCCGTTGGGTTCTCTGGTGGCATGGTGGTTAAGGTGGCTGGATCCCACATGGCCAACTGAGCAGTTTGAGCTGTGGAACTGGCGGCTTGAAAAACATGCAGAGCGCATGTGCGTGCATCCCCAGAATACTGAAAGGAGGAAGAAATAGAAGACGGATTAGGGCCTGACTGTTCCCTATGAGGGTTGCATTCTCTCTCTCTGTCCCTTTCCTTTATCACTTTCTGGCAAGTGCACATGCCTTCTGATGAATGACAAAAATGAAACGATACATAAATAATAACAAAATAAAACACTTACACTAGGCAAACTAGTAGCCTAGTGGTTAAGGGAGCAGATCCCACATGCCTGACCGCAGTTGGAATCCTGGCCTTGGCGTGCCCCTAATCCTGCAGTACGGACAGATGGAGGAGAAGGTATTACAGCATGATCTTTGGGAGCGTTCTCTTCTCTCTGGCTTGCACACGTAGCTTCTGGCAATAAATCAATAAAAAAGTACCCTTATACTAAGTAATAAATAGTTGACTGAAATGTTAAAATAGTACATCGCTGTAAGAAACAGGTCCTAGCAAGAAAAAGTGTTCCACTTCTCAGATTCAAATCAAGACACCTCAGTGAAGGAACTATTTACAGACATGTGGTAGGGGAGTTACAGGAACGAAAGAAGGATGTTTAGGGACCAAGAAACTAGCAACAGCAGGAAGTCATTACCACCCCTGACCTGAAGAGGCAAAGGGAGGAGGTGGTGTTTACAGAGCCCACTGAGAAGAGGAACTATGGCAATGGGCCTACCCCAGGAGGCTTAGTCTTGGGGAAACAACCCCCTTCGCCCACAACATGCATGAATTAGAATAGAATTGTTAAGTCGCAGAGGAGATCTGGAAGAAATACCCTATCCTCTCTCCACTCTTGTTTTCTTCTTTTTTTCTTTTACTAGCATTAACTTTCTTTCGGACTTTATTTATTTATTTTAAAAATTTTACTATAAGGCATGTAGTTGCCACAGAGAGAGAGAAAGGGACAGAGAGAGAGAGAGAAAGAAGGAAAGCAGCCCCCATGGTGACTGGTCACATTGCCATCTCTCCTCTTCCATTTCTTCTTTTGATATTTTGATCACACACCCATGTTTTTCAAGCCACCGGTTCCAAGATTTGAACCATGTAGCCGGTTATATAGAATCCAGGTGCTTTAACCACAATGCCACTGGCTGGCACTCTCATCTCCTGCTTTCTGATCTCTGGGTAATGCCTTTTCTGTCCGAACTAGATTAAAGTCGGTTGTCAAGGGTCCCAAGCAATTGATCTACAAACATCAGCATGCTCATGAGTGAAAGGTGGCAGGCTTGCAAGACAGACAGGAACGATCCCCTTGTACTAATGAATGCTAGACATTATATGTTGTATTAATAAATAAGTTGACATACAAGGGGACTTCAAGAAGTTCATGGGAAAATGGATTTGAAATAAATTTCAAAATCTATGTATTGTTTTTTCATAATGTGCACTTGCTATAAACTATTCGAAGACTCTGTAAAAGTCTTAGAAAATTCACTGGAAGATAGAGAACAATCAACCCTATTAGCTATTATTATTGTTTCTGTGATCAGCTCTATTTTACAAATAAGAAAACCGAAGTTCATGGACTTGAAGCGACTTCTTGGTTAACAGTACAGAGCCTACACTCAAATTCAAGTGTTAGCATGCCAATTTTATGCAAATTCTACTGTAAGAGTTGACTAACACCCTATGAGTACAAAGTAAGGCATTGCATGGATACTTAATTTTATAATTTGTTGCAAAACAAGAATCTTTATTCTCTGGACTCAAGGAAATCTCTAGCCAAACTGATATTTTCTGAACATTTATAAAAATAAAATAAGCAAAACTCCTATTTCCAAGACAATTCTATTTCCTCATGAAATTGGTAATATTAATGATGGTGTCAGTAGTAATAATCCTAATAGTTGTTAAGTTTTTCAGTGTTTATAATATGTCTACCACTGTGCTATTTTTCAGGCATTGTGGTAACATAATCATTAATCCATGATGCTCATTTTAAATTTCCTGTTCATTCTTTCAATAGTTTTTTAAACTTGGAAATAATCCATTTGGATGATTTTGCATGTCCTCATCTAACCATTTCAGGTTTTAGAAAAATCATTTTAAATGTGATAAACAGATTATGTCCTAACAAACTCCCAGGAAACAAGCTTTTTTCTTATCATTGTTGGAGAATTTATTCATCCCATTAGACTGCCATGATACAAAATTAGCCCTCAGGCAAGAGGTGGGGTTGGGTTGGCCATGCATTCAAAATTTGATTACATGAAATAAGACATTTTGAACATAAACATAGTTTGCTTCTCCTTTGTGTCAGGTCAGCTTTTTTTTTTTTTTTTTTCTTTTGGCAAGAAATTTTAAACAATGAGATAGCCATTTACCCTTAGGTCTTTGATTTTAGGTTTTTAGAATTTCAATCCAAAGGAGGTATAATCAGTAAACTAAGACATCATATGTACATTCTTAGTCAGCTAAAAAAAAAAAAAAATAAGATGTTTTTTTCCTGTGTGGTTGGTTTCCACCCTGTCACACTATCTATAAGCTTTTCTCTGATGGTTGGAGCAATTAGCAGACAAGGGCATGCTAACCAATGGCTCATCACAACATTGAGGTTCTTTCCTGCCAGTCAAGTTACAGTGTTGTCATTAGGAAGACTGTGAAGCAAATGCAGTAGAGAGACAATTCTGTTCTGCAAACAAACCACATGAAAGAAAGAAATCTTACATGTACACGCTTTGCTTTGCTTTCTATTTTCTTGGCCACTTACAGGATAGGCTGACTCAAACAAATTGCTTAATTACACTAAAGGCTGAACCATATGAAATTGGCAATATTTGACTGATTGGCCAGTTTGACCTAAAAAATGGCAGTTTTATGCAGTTTGTTGTAATAATTCTGGTATCTATTTAAGCAGTCCATGGAATCACTGCACAATTTCATTTACAGACTCTGTTTTTTGTTGTTGTTGTTTTGGTCATAGGGCACATGCACTCACCATAGAGAGACATATAAAGAGAAAGTTAGCAATCACCATCCCGCCAAGGGGATGGCCATGCCACAATCCTATCTCCTTCATTCTCCTCTTGGGATCCTAGGCATGCAGTACATGCACCTGGCATGATTTTCAAGCTGCTGGGCCTGGGACTTGAACTGCAGTCAGCCATGTGGAAGTCCAGTGCCTTAACCACCATGCAACCTGTTGGTCCATTTACAGACTCTTTTAAAACCCACTCCATTGGTGAACATGTTTTTGTACATTTCACAAATGAAGGTCACTTGTGATTTTTTTTCCCCTCTTGTTGATGACTTCAAGAAATTTGAACATCCAAAAATCTCCATCTATTGAGACATTTTTGGAATTATTTGTTCAATTTTATTTATTCATTCATTTATTTTAATTTGACCAGAGAGAGAGAGAGAGAGAGAAGAGGGAAAGTGGGAATACAAGCCACCAGATCCAGGACTCAAACCATAGTCAGCCATGTGGGAGTGTGCAGCACCTTAATCACCATGCCACCTGATGGTCCCTATCTATTGATATTTTAATGAGTTATATATAATAAAGAGTTTAGGGCCAGATGGTAGCATGATGGTTAAGACAGCTGCATCCCACATGACCGACTGTACGGTTTCAGTCCTGGACCTGGCAGCTTGAAAAACTCTGGGCACATGTGTATGTATGCCCAAAATTGCAAGAGAAATATAGAGGAGATAGGATCGTGGCATGTCCATCCTCCCTGGGGGTGATTTCTGACATTCCCTAGCTCTCTGTCTCTCATTGTCTCCCTGGTGAGCACAACTGCCCTATAGCAAACTAAAAACTAAAGTAATAAGGTGTCACTGCAGTGGTCGCCAGTTGAGCATCTGTAATAATAGCAACAGCATGTTGGGGTGGTCTTACTGTTACACATTCCATTACATGCATTATTTCACCAAGAGTCCAATTTCCTAATAAAGAAATTCTCAGTACATTCAAATGACAGGAAAAATCATATCACAAGTATTTAAAAGGCAGTGTTACATTATTATGCACTTTTTTTTTTTTTTTTTTTAGAGAGAGATGTTTTGCTATAGGGCATGTGCACTTGCTGGAGAGACAGAGGGAGACAGAGAAAGAAGGTGAGACATTCCCCCTAGGGTATATGGCCACTCCACAATCCCTTCTCCTCCATTCTCCTCTCGGGATCTTGGGCACGCACGCACACGCACCCGGCGTGAGTTTTAAGCCACCGGGTCCGGGACTTGAACTGTGGTCAGTCATGTGAGAGTCTGGGACTTTAACCACTACATATACACTCTTGTAACAGCAGTTAGTAGAGAAATTGAAGCAAAAAAAATGATATTCTGTGCATTTGTATAAACTGTTGGGGACAGCAAGTGGCATGGGGTGGTGGTTAAGGTGTTGTACTCCCACGTGGCCA